GGATGGATGGATGGATAGATGGATGGATGGATGGATGGATGGATGGATGGATGGATGGATGGATGGATGGACGGCAGGACGGCAGGCAGGCAAGGGGCACTCACATCGAGGATCACGGAGGCGCCCTTCCTCTGCTCGGACACGAAGAAGCCGTCCTGGCCGGGCGGGGAGGCGCCTCCGCCGCCGGCCGCCGCCTCCTCGCCCTCCTCCTCCGCCTGCTGGAGGAGCTCCCGGTCGGGCAGGCTGCTCTTCTCGCTCATCTTGGTGACGACCCAGCGGAGCAGCCCGTCCAGCCCGGCGGCCGGCGGCGGCTGTCTGCGGAGCAGCTTCTGGACGCTCTCCCGGCAGTAGCGCGCAGCCTGCTCACACATCTTTTACGGGCGCCTTCATGCTGGAGCCCCGGGTATTCCCTCCCACCCCGGGCGACATCACCCCCGCCGCCGGCGGCTCGCCAGCCAAACCCCACCCTTGGCTTGCGCCCGCGCGGAAAGCAGGCAGGCAAGCTAAGGAGAAGGCGGAGGGCAGACCCGGAGACACCCCCTCCTTCCTTCCCTCCCTCCCTCCCTCCCTCCCCCCAAACACCAGGGGTGGCAAGGAAGGGATACTGGAAAGGTGTGGGAGGAGGTTGCCTCCCAGCTCAGCTCAAACGTGGGGCTTTGATGAGCCAGATCGTGGCTGTCCTTATTAGGGCTGCAGGGTTGCAGAAGCCTCAAGGGCTGGAAGTTTTCGACCCAACCCACCCAGGACGAAAGGGAAAGAGACAAAAGCTGTCGGCATGAATGATCCAGGTCCTTATTTCCTCCACCAGCGTCCGGAGGTTGTGCATTAGGGCGGCTGAAGAAAATAAAAGGGGTATGGAATCACAGCATCATGAAGTCGGAAGGGGCCGATAAGGTCTGGAGTCCGACCCCTCTGCTCAGGGCAGGAACAAAAATCAAAGCAGATCTGACAAAGGGTCGCCTAGTTTTCTCTTGAAGGCCTCCATGGTTGGAGCGCTCACCACTTACCGAGGCAGTGAGTTCCACTGTCCCACTGCTCTAACAGTTAGGAAGTTTTTCCTGATATTCAGCCGAAATCTGTCTCCTGTCACTTGAACCCATTGTTGCATATCCTGCCCTCGGGGATGACTGAGAACAGATCCTTTAGGACTACCTTTCAAGGATTTGAAAAAATGCTCTCCTCTCTCCCCTCAACCTTCTTTCCTCAAGGCTAAACATGCCCAGTTCTTTCAGCTTTTCCTCCTAGGGCTTGGTTTCCGGTGTGTGTGTGTGTGTGTGTGTGTGTGTGTGTGTGTGTGTGGAAATTCGATATGCCCTCCTTTGAACTTGTTCCAGTTGGTCAGCATCCTTCTTGAAGTGCAGCGTGGGAGATTCTGCCCCAAGGAGCCTGCAGTCTGAGCATTCTGCAAGACTTCAAAAATGACGGGGGCAAAAACTTCCACGAACCACATGGTAACATTCAGTGTCTTTAGACAACCAGCATGGGTCACTTGTTTTTCCACTGGGGGGGGGATTCAAATCTGGGAAGGTCCTTCTTGACCAGTGGGTGGGTCTGCATTCCAGTGTTGGGACTGGAAACTTTAACACTACAAAGCACATCCATCCATCCATCCATCCATCCATCCATCCATCCATCTCTCCCTCTCTCTCCATCCATCCATCTCTTTCTCTCCCTCCCTCCCTCCCTCCCTCCCTCCATGGGACTTATAACCTGCCCATTGAGTGGCAAACTGCTACTCTGACCAGTTTACAGAAGAACATATGAAACAATGTAGACTCAAAATAATGCTTAAGATAACAATAACACCATCGAAATAACAAATCAAACATCATAAACATAAACTAATAAAACTAATAAATCATGGTAAAGTACAAGTTGTTCTCATGCAAGAGCTTTCCAGGATGACAAGCCACATCCATCTTCAATGCAGCAAACCAACGCTCTGTCTTTTCTGAAGTTTAAATAATTTCTTGTCCTGGATCTCCGATTAGCAGAAGAGTTAATGGTCCAGCAGAGTCTGCTTCACACATTGGCTGAAGCTGACCACAGAAAATTGTAAACTACGGCACTAAACCAACTTTAAACCATGGCTTCCTATCTAGGCTTCTCTGAAAACCATTTTGGGCATTACAGGAACCCATTGTTATTCTGTGCTCTCAAATTGGAGCGGGGATTCAAACCCGGAATCCTAATCTGACACTGTCCACTGCAACACAATGGGTATCCACAGGGAGGAAGAATAACAGCAAACAGGTTGAGCAATGTGCCGTCCTGGGGCTGTGCATGGCCCCCAACCTGTGTGTGTCCCAAGGCCCTCTTTTATTGGAAGGAAGGAAGGAAGGAAGGAAGGAAGGAGCTGATGCTGGATGGAAGGAAGTAAGGAAGGAAATGAATTACAATTCCTGGTTGTAGGCCTTCTACTTGATCACATGGCTTCCTTGTATTCTTATAGTCCAGCAACTGAGCTCTAGACTTCTATGATGTAAACTCTGAAGTGCAGGCAAACATCACATCAACCCCTATTGTTGGCATTATTTGGTACTGTATAGGCAAAGCACAACCAGCCAACAGAACAGTGACCATTGTGTTTATGCCGTGGTGGCACATCTCGATCTGGGAAGAATGGGGTAAGGTTTCATTCTAGGGTGATGAGCAGGACTGCAATGTAAGAAACGGGACAGGAAGTCCCTGATTCAAAGCTCCATTCTCTGCCACAAATGTGACAGGTGGCCCTAAAAGCAAGCCACGTTCAGTCTTAGGTCCCACCCCTTCCTATTCTTACCCTTGTCTGCCATAAAGGAGATGACAGTACTGATTGATCACATATGGTTGAAGAATACAACTAGATAACACATGTGAAGTGTTCTGAAGACTTGAAAGCAGTCTACAAATGCTAAACGTTAGTCTTCTTTGTGTCTCGGTCTTACTGGGTTTTTGAAGAAAGAGATGACAACAAGCAAGGTTTGAAAATGGTGGACCAACATGATCTGTGTCAAGCTTATGCAAAGGCCATTGATTGGGGGGTAAGAAAGTGCTTCAGTCTTTCCTGTCAATAATCAATGGGCCTTAGAAGGACTTCAACCTGTTGTGGATTATGCCCAAACATAGCAATTTAATGCCATTGGTTTAGAACTCATGAAGAAAGGACAGGTCTGGTTCTATGAACTTACTCAAGTTTCAGAAGCAAAAAACACAAGGGTTAGAAATTCAGGGTGTTCTTGACTTTTGGCAAATTGCAAAATCTCAGCCACAATTTATTTATTTATTTAACATTTCTATGCCACCAGTAGGTGCACCTCTCTGTGCATGGACTAAACATTTCCTGTCTTTGCCCTAAATGAGGTTTGTTCAAATTCCGATCCACCCAACATATGGAAAATATGTGGAAACATACTTTGGTTTTAAACTCCCAACTCCCAGCACAGAGTTCACAACTCTTGGAAACCCTAGGAAATAGAACACAAAGAATGTAGTTTTGTACATCCGAAGTTGTACAAAAACAAAACTTCTCATTAAGCTGTTGGTGTCCCCAGAGCCTAGAAAAGCTACATTCTTGATTGGATAGGTCTTTGAACTCCATCACCCATAATTCCTCAGCTATCATGGTGCAGAAAGGCTGGGCCAATAAATTCACTGTGGCAAATGGAAACACAGTGTCTTTCATTGCTATTTATACTGCAAAGAAATAATTGCTGGACAGCTCCATGGTTTAAGTCCCTGGCTGCAGAACCAGAGGTTGGGAGTTTGATTCCCGCACTGGGCCTCCTTGACAGGGGATTGAAACCAGGAATCCACGGGGTCCCTTCCAACTCTGCAGTTCTAAAATTGTTCTCTTGGCCAGATGCTGAGACAGAGCTTAACACGCAGGCCTTAAAAGCCAGCCCAATTGTACAATTTACTTGGGCCACCAATAGGCGCACCTCTCTGTGAAAGAGGTCACCCACCCTATGTGTTTGGATTTTGCTCAAGATGGAGGCCTAGCCCATGTCTAGCTCTGCAACAGATCAGGAGCGCTGACAACCCTCCACCCTTTTCATTTCTCTCTGGATGCAGATCTTCCTCCTGCTCGTAGGCTCAGCTTGAGGTTCTAATTAATTAAAGGCTTCCAGCCGGCAGAGACCTCAATTCCCTCTGGACCCAAATGTCAGCAAGGATTTGCTCACATCGGCTAATGAATGACAGGTTGCTGCAGGTCCCACTGTTGAGCAATCCAGCGGAGGCCCTAGCAACCGTGCAGCTGCATCGCGCAAGACCACGCTGGTCCACCCAGCTCCTGCAAGGTTACTCTGGCCAGCAGTGGCTCTCTATGACATCATAGGAGCCATGCTTGGACAGCTGCCAAGGCCCAGGGAGGTGAGTATGTTCCCCCCCCCACAAACTCACCCCCAACAGAGGTGGTGCAAAAAGGTGCAATGCTTGCACAGATTGTGCCTCCCGTAAGTAAGCAGCAGTGGCAGGAAGATTGTCAAAATATCTGGTATTTAATTCTAGCTGAGTACAAAGGGTTATTGCTGTTCTTGTTTTCTCTGTATTGCTGGAGCATGGAGGCAGACCAAAGGGTCTCAAGCCTAAAGATTAGGAATCAAGTGCTAAGATTTTGTTGGTGAGATGAAATGTTCGCAAAATCACTGATTTTGGGAGCTTGAAGAAGCAAATTAGAAGCTACTGGCCATTGTTTTAAATCGGTGACCAAAGATTTTGGAACAACTCCTGTTGCTGCTATCCTCATCAACATCAACTACAACTTGTTCTACCATTAACAGGTACTCAGTTGTCCAAATGATGACTAACAAACAGGAGTCACTACCCTGAGGAACTTGTGAACAGGGAAAATAAGAGAGGCACAGAGAGAATAGACCACCAGCTTTGGAGTGACCATGAGGAGTCTGTACAACCTACCTTAGGAAGGGACGGAGGCAAGAGGACATTCCTCCCTCATTGTGTTTAGCTCAGCTAAACACACCCCAAAAGTGGAAGAATTCCAAGTTCCTTCCACCAAACGCTGCTGTTTCCTGTCACTCCCATAATGCACCTCTGTTCCCCAAAAGCTGGAGTGGGCGCCCAGCCATGCAGAGCGCCTCTGCCAGGACCCGCCTGTGAGACAGGCGGCCATGAGGTCATCGGTCACCTTCCCTCTCCTCTCTCAAGTTCCCTTATTCACTCTATAATTCTCATAGCCGCTGGAGGGGAAAAGGGTTTCGCCAGCACAACGGCCAGTTCCTTCAAGACCTGATTCTGGAGAATCTGTGGTCGTCTCTACGGCCTCTTGCTTTCTTCCTGGGCAAGAGCCGGAGGCGGTGCTGTCCTGCTGGCACCAGATCAACCCTTTCAGCGGCTCTCCAAACCTCTGAAGACACCGCTCAGCTCCGCTGGGCTGCCTTTGCTGGTAAAAGCAGGCTTCCACGCTAACAAGGACGTGAGTTAACAAAGCGTTGCCACTTTTAGTTTAATTC